TCCCAGGAGGCCTTTTATTATCTAAGTGTGTCTACAAAATTTTGCAGATACCCTGAACCTATTCTTATGCAAGCACCCTCAATTCCCTGGTTCTATTGTACTCACTTCTCCAAATCCAAGATCTGGTTAAACACAATGCTTCACCTCCTAAATCTAAAAACCTATGACTAAATGTAAGTGGAAGAAAACACATCACCGTGCTCAGAGATACCATGAGCTTCATGTGGATCTTATTGCTGCTCAGCAAATCTACTAAATGTAACCCTTGTCCATGGATTGCTCCTTTATCTTATATTTCCACTTCACACTTATTCTACCTCCTCACACCTTCAATACCTCCTCGCCTCCATCATTCCTACACTCCGTCGATAATAATGTTCCCTATTTTAGTGAGAAAAGGAGACTTATCAAGTGTGTACTGTAAATTTACTTGTCTTTTCCCTATGAGGATGTAAGGTAAGGAACTTTGTATATACAAGGCCTAGATACACACCTAAAGCACAAACTGTGTTCAGATATTTCGGCACCAAAAATTAATAAAATAAATAAGGGCATAAGTATTTTACAAAGAATACAATGTCTGCACAAATGTCATGAAAGGGTTCACGTTAAGAAACTAGTGCTCAAGGTTAAAACAAAAGTCTACTATCTCCAAGTTCAATGCACTCTAGACTCAATTCGTCTTGATAGTATGGTGCTATCACTCAGTCTCAACTGCTGTTTCCCAAAAGTTCCATGGTTCCCTTTATTTGAGTAAAAGTTAAAAGGAAAATTTAAAAAAAATAAAAAGCTAAAAGGCAATTACAGATGGAGACATACAGCTGGGGAGGGAAAGGGGTTCAGAGAGGGGAGGGAAGATAGACATTTTGTTTCAGAGAGGGGAGAGTACAATGGACTATGGTGATGGTACACAAGTGCTGTGGAGGTGGGAGACTTATAGGGACTACACCCCAGGGAAGAAATCAAATATTGTACAAAATTGAACAATAAACAATGTAATAAAATAAGATATTTCATAAACCCCCCCAAAAAAAGGGGGGGAGGGTAGTTATTCTACCAGGGTTTCAAAACTTTCCTACAATGCTAGCTTCATAGCAACAGTGCAATGATTACTTAATGGCATAAATATTTTATGTCTATTGAATTTTTCATATTAAATTTACAGCTTGCATGAATAATAGAAAGTAGTTCATATATACCATTCATAGTTACACTGTACAATTCTTTTTCAGTAATCTGTTATAGATGTAAAAAGTGTAGAAGCGTCCCAAAATAAAAGTCAACTTAAAATAAACATTGCTCTACAAATTCTGGCACTGAGAAGAGATATTTTACTCTCATGATTTTCACAATGGAATCTAGTTTTTCATATAGATTCTGATCTATTGGGTCCATGATTCAAATATCCAGATCTGAGTTTTCTGTATTTTAAGAATAAATTTTGCATTTAAAAGATAGTGTGCCACAAAGATATACATAGAACTGATGAAACTCAACAAAAATAAACAACCTCATCAAAAAATGGGAGAAGAGCTAAAAAGACAGTTCTCCAAAAAGGAAATGAAGATGGCCAGCAGCATATGAAGAATAGTCAACATCACTTGTAATAAGGGAGATGCAAATTAAAACCATAATGAGATACCACCTCACCCCGGTGAGAATGGCACATCTGAAAACAACTAGCAACAACAAATGTTGGTGAGGATGTGGAGTAAAAGGAACTCTCCTGCAAACTAGTACAATCACTATGGAAAACTGTTTGGAGGTTCCTCAACCTACTAAACATGGAGCTTCCATATGACCTAGAAATCCCACTCCTGGGCATCTACCCAAAAGACACAAAAACACTGTTCAAAAAGATACCTGCACACCCCCATGTTTATTGCTGCTTTATTTGCAATTGGAAAGACGTAGATGCTCAAAAGTAGATGACTTGATTAAAAAGATGTGATACATATACACAGTGGAATATTACTCAGCAACCCAGAAAAAGAAACACATGCCTTTTACAGCAACATGGATAGAGCTGGAACAAATCATGCTTAATGAAATAAACCAAAAAGGAAAAAGAAAAATACCGAATGGCTTCACTCATAGCAGGAGTATAATGGATCAGACAAGAAAATAATAATAATAATGAACAACTATATGCCAGAGACATTTTATGGGGGTGGAGTGGGGAATGGGATCAAACAGTCGGGGGAGGGAAATGACAGGACTATGGTGATGGCATATGGGTGATTTGGTGATGGGAAACCCACAGGAACTACAACTGAGATGGAAAATTGCACAAAATAATGTAAAAATAAACTAGTATATTATTTATTAAAAAAAGACAGTGTGCCACACGAAGAGCTCTGTGATTCCCATGTGAGGATGTAGAGACGGGGATCAGAGGTAGATAAAGGAAGAGGCATTGACTTGAAAAATAAACGTTTCTATCAGTACCCTTTCCCCAATCTCACTATAAAATCCTATCAAATTTGATTTTCCACAAATAGACCACATAGACACTGATAACACGATTTAATGTTCATCAGGTCAAAACTGTGAGGAAGTCCTGTACTTTACAATTTCAGCTATAGCAAGATATCACTCAAAGCAAATGAGAAAAAAAATCACCAAACATACATATAAATTTGTATTTTTGAATGAAAAAATGACAAAAGCTTTCTCCTCAATATTGCAGAAGAAAATCATTTGAAAAATAAGTCAGATCACAAATAATAAACCAATTATTTTCCTTTATTTTATCACTTAATGATAGCTATTAGCTTCTAGTTTTTCATAGATGTTCCTCACCAAATTGAGTAAATTCCCCTCTATTTTTACATTCCTGAGAGTTTTTCCAGAAAGTTTATGATGAATTTGTTTTGGTTTTTGTCAAGCATTTTTTCTATATAACTGATATGATCACATGATTTTTCTTCTTCAGTAGACTTTGATCAATGTTTCTGAATGCTGAACCAGTCTTGTATGTATATATTCACAAGAATTGTTCTATAATTTTCCTTTCTTGTAATGTCTTTTTCTGGTTTTGATATGAGCATAGTACTTGTCTCGCTGTTAGAAGAATTCCCTTTATCCTTATTTTTCTTGAACACATTTATTCAATTTATTTAATAGGGAGGATATAGGATTATTATTTCTCCTAGTATAAGCTCTAGTAGTTTGTGTCTTTCAGGGGGTTGACCCATTTCTGATATTGGAAGTTTGGGTTTTCTCTTTTTTTTTTTTTTTTGTTACCCAACTTTAATGATCTTTTCATAGAACCATTTTTGGGCTGTGGTGATTATTTTCTCTCTCTCTGTTTTCCTATTTCTTATTTCACTGTCTTGTACTCTAAGGTTTTATTTATTTATTTATTTATTTATTGCTTTTATTAAACTTGCTTTGGATAAAATTTCTCTTCTCTGTCTAGTTTTCTAAGTTGAAAGCATAGGCTTCTTTTATCTGTCTTCTTCACTGATAAATTTATTTAATGTTATGCATTTCTCATTGTTACTTTTGCTGTGTCCCACAAATTTGGTAAGTTGTATTTTCATCTTTATATAGCTAAAGTATATTTTCCTAATTTATCTTAAAGTTTCTTCTTTGACACACAGGTTACCTAGAGATGTGTTAATTTCTAAAATTTGGAGATTTTCTAGCTATCTTTTGTTATTGGTTTCTTATTGAATTCCATTGTGATCTAAGAACATACTTCAAAGATCCCTACTCTTTTCAATTTGCTAGAATGATCTATCTTGAAAAGAACATATCCTGCTACTGTTGGATGGCATGCCTTGAATTTTAAAACAAACAAATGATCATTAAACCTACATACTAGAAAACTAGTCTATTAATAAATAGTATTTAAATTTATCCTAAATTTCCCAGACACTGGGCAATGAGCAAAGGCAGAGGAATAGGCGATATGGATCCAAATGTGAATACATTATTTAATCTTCCAGGAGATAATTTAATACACACTTTTTCAGAAACATTCAAAAATAAATAGTTCTATTTTATGCTTTAAATGGTTATCACTTGTAAAACATTTTCTAATGCAATTTGATGCTAACAAGAAATGCAGCAGGTATAATACTACATGTGTGAATTTATTTATAAAAAATAGAGTTGTGAGTTTTTCTATAATTATGATTACATCTGAAAGGTTAAAGATTTTCTGCTAGTTTTTCTTAAAAAAGATAAATAAAAAAGACAATCTTTACCAAATGCAAAGAGGAAGACATTGCATATTTAGTCTTCCAAGAGATTATTTTAAAAATAACTTTTCATCAAAACAACTTCTAAGTATTATATTAAAAAAAACTTCTAATGGTATTTCAAAAACTTCATTTATGTGATATGTATTCCTAATTTAAGAATAGTTGGAGAGGGGATAAAAGTACATGCTACTGACTATAGCTTTCTACCGTAGTCTCTTTGAATATTATAATCAATAAGACTAAAATCAGGATTTTGGCATTTTGTGAATCACTTTCTAAGTGACAAAAAATTCTTCACATAATATATCTAGCTACATCTACTCAAAAGAAGCTACAAGAACTAAATAAGAGGTGAAAAATAACCTGAAAATGTCAAGAAATCAAATCATGTCAACAAAATTCTATCAACTAATTAATTGTATTCTAATTTTCCCAAACTATCCCACAAGTTATAACACATTTTGTTTCTGAAGCACACCCTGGTAGAAGTTGTTGAAACTGCCAATTTTTTATTCTAAAACTAAAAATTCTCTATGAAATCTCTTATGTCTTACCACAATTTCTTTTATTAAAACGAGTTAACCAAGTCTTATTTCAACTTTATATATCCATTCAAACATTATGACTAAATTGAAGTTCCTGGACAGTTACTATTACGAATGTAAAGGAAAACAAGAGCCACCAAGCAAGTTTTTGTCTCCCAGTTTAACCAGTGGATTTTATTAAAATAATAATAATCATTTAAGTGACAGTCTAATTGGCAAGTGTGATAATTCCTTTGAAAATTACCTTTTGTTGAATCATCCTCTATTGGCTGTTTGAACAATGTAATGTCCTTGAAAGTGCATAGGAATAAGACCACCTTTTCATGTTCATTTCTTATTGGTGCAATTTGCATATAAAACCAAACAGGGGTCCCTGTAAAAATGAGAAAGACAACACATGTGATATAACCACACAATGCTTAGCCTCCTACCATCTGTCTTCTTTCAGCTGCCAACCATTCTGCCAAGAACCAACACCAAACTACAATATTTCAATTGCTAAAAAGCATCAAGAAAGCTTTGATTTTTGTACTAACTGCCAATTATTCAAAAAAATAAAAACTTCTATTTCAAACCCAAATAATAAACTCTAAAATGAAGCCCTGGGTGTCATACCACAAAGAAAGAGCACAGGAACACAAAGGCATTCTCCCTACTCGAGTGATTTCAGCAGTACCTCTAGGTGTGGGTCGGAATACAACCCAAATGCTCACACCAACTCCCTTCTCGTGCTTCTCTCTTCTTGTCAACTGGGGAAGTGTTTCCCACTGACTTCAACAGCCATGCTTGTGGCTCTGATAAGCTTTACTCTCAGAGAAACCATCTAATGTTTCTTTTTTGTGTGCTTGTTTACAGGAGGTAACACATTAAAATATTACCAGTAGGTAACATTGATTAACAACAAAGCATGTGAGCCAGAGGTACAGGGTCACACCTCTCTAGATGTGTGTTACCATTCCCCACTCACCACCAAGGAAGGCACCAGAGGATGACAAGGAAGAGATTTTCTACCTCAAAACTCTCTCATCAGTCAGATGGACTTATCAGGTCATTCTATGGCTTGAACCGAGGATTTTCATGAGAGAAAAAGGACATAAACAGCACTGATACAGGTGTACACAGAGCGTGAAGCCTGTGAGGCAAGGTTACATCAACAAGGAGACAGGTCCCAGCCCTTAGGTGTGTCATGCGTCCCCATGAACCATCGCCTCCTACATCCCTCACTCAGAGCATAAGGCTCAACTGTCACCATGGTCTTCTAATCATAGTCTTGCAGACTCCAGAAGACAGTTTCTAGGTGTCCAAGTCCTGAAATTTGGATAAGTAAGGAATGGATAAAATGTCAAATAGTAAATATCTTAACACATGAGAAACGCACTTAAAGCGGTATGTAGCACTAGATCAAACACTGAAGGAATCAAAAAGACACATTTTTATCATATTAACTCTAAGTCATAGTGCAGTGAAGCCTCTTCAGTCTATCTTAAAAACATCCAGGAATTTGTCTGGTTTGGATTGCAGGGAGTGAAATGAGCAGCTATTACTAGTCTCTGGGTAACAGTTGACAGATATGGGTGATTTCCAGGGGAAGCACTTCCATACCTGTAGTCCAAAAAGTCACAGTATAATGTCCCCACAGAGGGGAATATGCCATTTAGATAAGGTGAGGAGATCTTACTACCTGGTTTAAATGTCAGAGAATTAGAGAGAAATTTCTAGGAAATATTCAGTTCCAAAAACCAGACCAGGAGGCCAGTGAAAAGACAGAGCGCTTTCCAGAATAATCATAGGATAAGACAGGGACCTCAAAACCAATCACACTGTCTCCCAGAGAGGCTTGTTCTTTGTTTTGTTTATTGTATACACGTGTCCACTCACTGTGAGTGAGGGACAGTCTTAACAGGTCACCAGATGCGGACACTGGCAGAAGCATGGCCTATGGCTCAAATACAGGCAGCATGAGGCAGCAGAGTCATAAACAGAGAAAAGGGCATTAAAAATAAGTCGAGAGCCCTCCCAGGGAGCTGCTGGTGCAGCAGGTTAAAGCACAGCACTAAGAAGCTAAAGCCACTTCCACATGAGTTCAATCCCCACCCTGGAGGTGACCCACATGGTGCGGCAGACCTCTCCTGACCCGTCCGCTGCTCCCCTCAGCAGTGTACTTCACCAGTCTGCCTATTCTGCTCCCCACTCTGTCTCTGGTGAAGCCTCTTACCCACCACACCTCTGGGCCTGTACCCCAGTTCTGTAAGCATAAATAAATAGATCTTTAAAAAATAAAAAAATAAATAAGGAACCTTTCTAAATAATCATCCCTGAGCTAGTGTTTCTCTTCCAACAGCTGAAACAGCTGTTTCAGAGCAATGGACCCAAAAAGTGGAGGCTGCAGGCCTCACTGGTAGTGCAGGGGTTAAAGTCTCAGTGCTATCAAGCTATCACCACCCACTACAGCATATTTTGATCACAGGCCAGGAAGCTGACCCACATGACCCAGCAGCAGACTTACCCTGTCTTACCCACTGCTCCCCTCAGCAGTGTATTTCCATCAATCTGCCTGTTCTGCTCCCTACTCTTGCCTCTGGTGAATACTCTCATCTCTACATCTCTGACCTGTACTCTAGTTCTCGTGTGTATAAATAAATGAAAATAAATATTTTTTTTTAAAGTAGAGACTTCAAATTGAAATTTCAAACCTGACCTTATAAATCAGATACCCAATCCTCCCACTTACAAAATGATGTTTAACCAAATCACGTAATGCAGGTGTTTAAAAGAATTGGGCATTCGGGCATTCCCAAAACAGTTTGCTACAGACACAAAGTTTTCTATCATTTTAAAAAGTCATGAGAATATACTTTTTCAGTTAATGTTCAAAAGCCTTAAGTTAACTGTTTACAAGACTTTTTTAAAGCTGCTTTTAAGTATAGTAGGACTTTTTATCATACATGTATAACAACTCTCCTTCATATTAAAGAGGAAAAGAAAAAGCCCAATACAGATATTTCAAAGAAACGATACTCAAGTTTTTATCTGTAATTATGGGCTATATCTCCTACTGGCTCTAAATAGGCATCTACACATTTAAAGATGAAAGATAGCATCAGTAGATGATATGTACATTATTGTAAAAGGACCAGACAGGCCTGAATAAAGATAATTATCTTGGGCCAGATAATTACTTCAACCATTAAAAATAAAACAAAATAAACCACCTTGGAAGGGAAATTTTGGACATGTAAGATTCAAGATTACTGTTAACACAATATAATGATCATAAACAAAATGAAACTTCTACTGCTATATTTTAGAGAAACTCAACATCTATGGATTTGGTTTTATTTCTTTAAAACTTTAAAATAAGACAAAGATTTGTTTACTTTGACTAAACGTCAGAGTCTAATGACCTCAGTAATATGGGCTATTCTTCAATTGTTTGTTGAACTTGGGGCCTATATCTAAGTCACACATGAGGAGTTACATGCCTACATGAATGTGAAATGGAGTTTGGGGATTTGGATTTACTAGGGATTAGCAATACATATTTAGACCTGGTGAAAAGACCCAGAAAGCACCTGAAGCCTGACTTTTTTTCTGTTGGTAACAAGCCAACAGACATTTGGCTGTGACTTCAAAGAGAAATACTCTTCTACCTTGATCTACAGTGAAAGCCAAGGTGTGAAGTCAGCCCTTCCACTACAGCAAATGAACATACAAAACAAACCCTAGAAAATGAATATAAAATTGAGGCAATCAAGGGGAGGATGGAGGTGGGAGGATGGAGGTTACTACACCACACCCACCACCATTGCAGTGGCCCAGGGTAAAGACTTAAGAGTGCCTTAGTGGTGGGTGTGGCATAGAAACAAACACCTAAATTATATACAGCATTGTAAAACAATTTACCTCAATGAAAAATACCACAAAGTTAAAACAACACTAAAGATTAGGGTTTTTTTTTAACCAAAGTACACCTTTGCAAAGCAATGTTTAAGCTGATTATTTCTAAGATAATCTAGTAACTTAGTAACTTAAAAAAAAGAAACCCAAATTCAACTCCAAATATTCCACAGACAGCAGATTTTTGAATTAAAATGGAAAGGTTAAATTATGTTCCACAACATCCAACATAAACTAACAATGAACAAGTGTTCCTACTGAAGCAACAATGCTAGAATTTAATATCTTCCCATTTCTCCTAAAATCAAATAACTTTGCTATCATCTACAATCAAGATTAAATAAATGATCTTATTCATTTTTTATTAAAGTTAGCTTGTGAAAGTAGCAAAAAGAAATAAGAGACTAATGAAAGGAAACAAATTAGAAAGGAGATTTGGCTGATGAGTGTACTAGTTGTTTTTTTGGTTGTTTTTTTTTTAATTGTTATTTGATTTGTTTTCTTCTCCCCAAACTCTGATAGAGCCTATATTATGAGATCATAAGTGACTTTATAATGAACTGACCACTCACAAATTCCATAACAATTAATATAAATTTATCAGATATACATGGTCCATTCTGAAGATAATGACCACTTCCAATCGCCTTTTACACAAAATAGTGTGAGTCTAGCAAAAGGCCAAACTGGTAAAGATTCCCCTGAAGTAGATGTCATCAGATAACATCAATGTTATAGAAAGGTTATCACACATACTCTTGATAACAATTCCTTTTTTTCTTTAACCACAAGAAGAAATGAATTTCTGTTATTTCTAGTTGCTGTCAGGTAATTATAGGATCTTTACCATGACGATTAATTACAAAACATTCTGCTGCCATACAAAAAAAGAAAGTCACATTTAAAATGCACCATATCTTTTTTGTCCATTCTTCAAAGTATGGCTTTTCACAGATGGAATCATTTGTTAATTTTGCTTTCTAATTTCACCAGCAACTCCTGTCCCTGCCAAGAAAAGGAGCAGCGCAATTTTTTATTTTCTCTACACTATAGCTCAACTACCACTTACCAAAACATTATTAAAGAGTTAGATCATCTTATTGATAATTTAGATACCTACTGTTTTTCTTGTACAGAAGAACTTCAAAGCAGTTTGACTCATAGTTGTCAAAAGTTTGCCTGACTTTCTCAATGGTCTTCTTGTCTGTCAATTCCCCATACATAAAACTGGAAGGAAAAAAAATCCATTTCAGTTTTCTATTGCTTTCAAACTTATACAAAACATAAGTTGTTTAAATTTAGTTGCAAGATATAACAATACTCCCACAAAATGAACTAAAATATTGAAAGCCTCTTTGATCATGATTGTTAAACTCCTTACTAAAAGTTAGCTTTAGGCATTATTTCAGAGATAAATAGTCATCACTGTACACAATTCCTATACAAATAATGTTCAGTTGCTAGAGTACAGTTAAATAACGTCTTCCCAAAACACAGTTCAAAGCTCCGTAACTAGTTTATTAACTACAAATAGCTGCATAACCAATAAGCGCTGCTGCTAGCTTCTTGGTCTACGAGACAATGATATGCGTGAACAGTCACCTTATTCTTTCAAAGTCTACAGGATCAGTTACTGAGCATCTGTTACTGTGTTCATAAACACACAGCAAGGCAACTCCTCCAGTTGCCTCTGTGTCTCTTGGTGATAAACCTACATGACGTTTTATAAATTAGCAATCAAAGCTGAAATCAGTGGTCAAAGGTTAAAGTTCATCAAAGAAATGCAAAATGATAATGCATGAAATAAAATTCAAAGTGAACATATATGAATTTATTGAAGAAATATGTGACTGTGGACACCATAGTGGCCATTTGAGAGATGCTAGATGTGCAACCAGAACATTCGTAAGCTGAGCTTATCAGCTTAAGTCAGGAAAGTGAATGTGGTGAAAAGAATCAGTTTCCTGGAGAAAGATCCCAGTGAAAATACACTTTACATTAAAGAAGCTTTAGGAATGTGAAGAGCAGATGGATAAAGTACTTGAAGGGATTCAAACCTAGAAAGAAATAGAATAATTTTCTAAAAGAGAAGACTCTTTGTTCATGTTATGAGAATGCAAATATTGTTCAAAGGATTGGTGATGGTTTAATATTTCTTACAAAATATTAAATTAATTCTCAATTCCTAATATTCTAAATCACAGTGTACTGAATAAATATGCATTGTACTATTATTTTCATTTCCCTATATTTATCACCACCCATAAGAAAGCTTTCAATGTTTTGACAAACATTAGTAAAGGTAACAGAACAATTATATATTTTTTTCATTTAGAATTAAAATTATATTGCATTCTTTTAGTTTGAAGACCACAAAGAATGCAAAATTATATTGCATTCTTTTAGTTTGAAGACCACAAAGGCACCACATCACACATAAAATTTCTTAAGGTAGGTAAGGGTGTGGTTAATGGGAAGAGACAAATTAAAGGAGACATACACCACTGCTATAGCTACAGAAATATAGAAGACATAGACTAAAGCAGTAGTGAGCGTCTGCTCGCCCCAGAGAGTCCCTAGTGTTTGAAACTATTTTCTAAGAGAATCTCACCAAAAGTCTTAAAATGTACAAAACAGAATTCAATCACCATATATATGCCTTTATATTCTGCCCTTAATGCTTTCACAGTCCCTGAATATGAATCGGGTCTTAGGTAAATGGTTCCACTAATTGGTGTCATCTGGGACCATTTCTTCCACCTGGAAAAAATGCATGGTGCTGCCAGATCTCTGCACTATGTTTTCAAGGGTCAAGTATGTCTCTACTGTTGGTTTCATTTTGTTTTATTCAATTTTCAATGAATCAGCAATATGGCCAGAGGTAAATCCAAATGTGGTGGGACCTAAAGCTTATATAATTTTAGGGGTCCTCTTCAAGGAAAAGAATACAAAATTACAAAACAATATTAGCACAAAGCCTTAAAAGACAAGTGAGGGCCCCTGAAGGATAAGATTCATTATCCTCATGAGAAATCTGCCAGAAATGTATCAATCTAGAAAAATTTTAATACAAAAAGCAGAGTGTTAGCAAGATCAGAAAATCAGTAGGACTCGAGCAATTCTAATCACCACAGGACATTACAGACTAAGTACATCTTATAGTAACAGTAACCTAAGCAGCTAGAAACCTAAGGAAATAAATGGAGCTGACCAAAGATTGCCTGAGCACCGAGAATTCTGCATCCTGCATTTCAGTTACAATATTTCTTTCAGAAACAAGATGAAAATCTTAGGTTGTCATTACAATAGTAAAATAAGCAAGCACATCTCAAGCTGTAATGCCAGACTCTAGCTCCATTATCTTGCAGACAGACTAAAGCACCAACCTCAGTGCACTGAAAAGCGACGGTCCCTGACAAAGCCTGACTTTTCAGCTCGTGAGTGTCATGAAAATCTCTTGAAGGCATTACAACTAAATTGGAGCTCCTCAGTTGGAGGCACAAAGGAACCCTTCTTTCCCCTTCCCCC